GCGTGAAGGCCCAGAGATCCCTTGGAGCCACGGGAGAGCAGGCACAGAGTCCCTGCTGGGGGCCAATTCTGCTGCCTGAACTCAGCTCTTCAAAGAAGCCTCTAAGACTCAGCTGGTGAGTTTTAGAAGCCAGGCATTCCTATACACTGTGAGATATTTTTAGAGCTTCCTGAGTGAAAAAACATACAGCTTTTATCAGGGACATCTGACCTCCAACAGGCAGCTCCTTTCCCCTTTGAGTACAAAGTTACTTCCATGGCATCATTTAATACCAAGTGCCCAGGAAGCCCAGACTGTGCTTTCCAGAAGAGAAAATAAACAGAAGGAAGGAGCTTTGCACAAGTGTAACATGCTCCAGAACAGACCTGACTTTAGTTCTACTGTTTGTGTTCAAACACAGCAGACAAAAGCTCCAGCAGGAGAGCTGGCACATGACCCACGGTACCCGGAAAGTCCCTCTCACGAGGGCTGTAGGAAAATCACAGCTGTACGAGTCCCTTGGGCCTGCAGATGCCTGGGGATCCTCTCCATCCACCTCGTGCTCTCCCAACAGCAGAAAGGGTGACCTCAGGGACACGGTGGCACTCGACATCCTGCTGAGAGAGCAAGGAAACTTTTAGCATAAATGTGAGTAGGAATTTAAAGCTTTCTTTCCTGGGAGCTTTGTGAAGTCTGCAACCAAGAGGGGGAAAATTTCCATCTCCTTTGGTACAGGAGTCAACAGAGGTCAACAGAGCTTTCACCTTTTTCAGACAACTGTGCCCTTTTTGGCTCCCTGGCAGCTCCAATGGCACCAGAACCCCCTTCCTGCACACCCACGGGTGTCACACACAGGCACCCACACACCTTTGCTCCAGCCCACATGTGGCCAACATTTCCTCGCCCTGGACATCCCAAGGGGACTATTTTTGCTATAGAGCACAGCAACCCCCTGTCCTTGCAAACTGCCTCCCTGCCAAAAAGGAATCATTTTTCCTGGACACTTCTCCCACAGTCAAGGTCTTTTAAAATCTGCTCGGGGTCCCTCCCAGCTTCTGCCTGTCCTTGCCTTTAAAGGTACAGGTGTATTCTAATTTCCAACAGCAAAACCCAGCTCCTCACTAGCAGTACAAGCCCTGCTCTTACCTGGACAGACTCCCGGGCTTGGCACAGCTGTGGGTCATGGAGCAGCTTCCCAAGGCCGTTCTCTCTCCCAGCAGGAAGCACAACTCGCCTCCACTCCCCAGCACCAGGGGAAACCACGAGCCAGGCTGCAAACTGACACAGAACGAGCAAAAAGCATTAACGCAGCACAAAAAACCGAGTTAAAGCTGTCTTTGCCTCGTAACCCTGCACAGGGAAAGGCTTTGGGATTCCGAGGCAATCCCTGAGACACCCAGAGAGCACCAGCCCCGCAGCCCTGCCACGGCTCCCCCCGGGGTCACCCGGCAGGTAACGGGCTTACCCGGCCCCCGCTGCCCAGCACAACGCGGCCCTAAACGCCCCCCAGCTCCCCCGGTCCATAAACCCAGCGGCCAAGCGCTCTCAGCTCCCCAAAGCCACAAGGGGCCCAATCCTGCCGCACACTCCCAGCACAGATCCCCCAGCCCAGCCCGTGTCAGAGCACTCACCGCACAGCCCCTGCCGTGTCACCTCTCCCGGGGCTGTGCTGTGTCCTGCTCCTGGCCGGGCTCGTCCTCCCGTGCAGCCTCTCCTGCTGCTCTGCTGAGCCGGGCTTGCCCAGGCAGAGTCTCTCGGAACGAGGCACAGCTGCTTTGGGCACAGGAGCAATCAGGAAACCTTCCCGCAGGCTGACCCGGCCCCACCGGTGGCTGCGGTTGCCCCCGTGCTCGGGGGAAGCCCCATCTTCGGGGGGCTCTGGCCGGCAGCCCCCCGGGCAGTTCCTGCGCAAAGACAGCGGGAAAACACTCGCGCACGCAACACAAAGTTCCAGGCGCTTTCCCCGCCGTGCCGCACATCCCTCCGGGAGAGGCCCCGGCCCGGGCACAGCCGAGCTCCCGGCACGGCCCGGGGGCGGCCGCTCGAGCCCCCCCGGCCGGAGCCGCAGCCGGGACAGCCCGGGCCGACCCCGGGCCGAGCTCCGCACCGTCCGTCCCGCGGGGGCCCGAAGGTCTCTGCGCACACACGGCCCTGCCGGGCACGGACACGGCCCCTCCCCGCACAGCCCCGGCACTCACCGGCTCCTCCCGACCCGCACACACCAAAGCATCCCCCGGGCCCCCCCGGCGCTCGGTAAAAGGGCTGCGGGGCGGGGCCGGGCGGGGCGGGGCCGGGGCGGTCCCTGCGCGGCACCTGCGGGGCGGGGGCAGCGGGGCGGGGCTGCGGCACCAACGGGCTCGGTGGCGCCGTCTGGCGAAACCCGCCCGGCACTGCAGGGACAGCCCTCGGGGCGCGATGGGACCGCAGCTCCCGGTTTTTATTCGCCAGGGAGGGAGCCTTCGCTTGGCTCGCCGAGGGGCACGGAGGTGTCACCGCATGCATCGTGTCCATCTTCTGGTCTTGGGGGGGGGGGGGCACAGGGGTCAGCGGGGGGCACCTGGGGCCACCTGCAGTCACCTGGGACACCCTGGAGCTACTACGGGGTCACCACGTACATCACATCTGGCTTCTCGTCTGGGGGGTCATGGGGTCACCCGGGGGCACATGACCCGAGCAGCTGCCCGTCTGTCCCTGTGTCCGTGTGTCCATCGGGCAGCACCGTGAGCACCCCTGGCCCGGGAACTGGCACTGACCGTGCCGCGGGTCAGGCACAGGCTGGTCCCAGCTCTGCCTTCAGCTCTCCCTTCCCTCCACGCCCTCAGAACTCACGGAATTTCAAAC